AAACAAGTCGTTTTATCCTGTCCGGCATTTATGTTGGATCAAGAAACTGTTATACTTTTGTGAAACACCTAAGAACGCGAACCCGGCTACGGTTACGGAAGTGCATTTCTCGGCATTGTACTTCCATTCTTCTGCCAACGCCTAGACTTCGTTTTTGCAACATACCGAGAGCGGATTCATACACGGCCTAATCTTGTTATGATGGTCTGTTAGAGGCTGAGTGCCGATCTTTGTATTCTGGGTGAGGCATTGCGTTGGTGACAGGACTTTGATTATTCCGTAGGGTACCTTGCTTCGGGGGTGGTGGAATTTCCGATGGGTTCCTGGTGGAGGAATTGGTCTATACATCTGCACCAGGTCTCCCTCGTTAAGTACGTTTGTTCGCCTCTGTCTATCGTAGGACCTCCTTTACCTGGTGTGTGCTTTTAACAATTGCATGCGCTCGGCATTAAACACTTTCCTGGGGCTTCCCTTTAGTCGCAAGACGTACTGGAACACGTCATCTACCAAAGGTCTCTTACGAGGAAGAGGGATGTCGTGAGGAACCCTCACTTCACGCTCCGTGAACACCTTGAAAGGTGCGACTCCAGTCGGAGTTTAGGCGGAGGCTTGGTAGGTAAGGACGGCGCGTCTTAAGTGTTGATCCCAATCCTCGGGCTGCACTCCTTTGATGAAGGCCTTCAATGAGTTCACAAGAGTACGACTTGCCATTTCTGCTAGCCCACTGCCCTGGGGGTGACCCGGCATCGTACGCGTTTTACGGATTCCAAAGGCTTTGTACAGAATCAGGCACACCATATTGGCAGATCCAGCGATCGAAGAATGTGGTTGCCATTGTCTCAGCATCCTGCGTCTATAATGGTTCAGCTTCCGCGATCTTAGTGAAGTAGTCTACCATCGCCAAAATATAACGATTCCCTCTTGGGGTCGCTGGAAGCGGACCTATGATATCTATGCCTACTCGCTCCTCTGGAAAATCCTTGGGCATCGGTCGAAGAGGGACTACCGCGATGCGGGTTGAGTTCTTGAAGCTGGTACGCATGACGCACGTGTGGCAAAAATCGGAGACATCCGATGTCAACGTTGGCTACCAATACCCCTCCCTTGCAGCGTTAACCATCTTCCTTTCCCCACATGGCTAAGTCGCTCATCCAACTCCAACAGAGCTGTCTACGTCAAGGAACCTGGCACTACGAGGCGTTTAGGGCCTGCCGCCTTGACGTCTCTGTACCAAATGACGTCATTCTCTAGATTGAGCTTTCCCCAGTTCTGCAGTATTTGTTTGGCTCTCTTGTTCACTGAGCTCATCTCCTCAACTGTGGGCTTGGTCGAGGATGTACTTAGTCTTTCATAAACTAAAGTTGTATTGGGATCGATGTTTTGCGTGTTTCGCCAGTGATGGGTAGTGGGCTGGCTCAATAGTAATACACCTACCGTGCCGTTATTCATGGACGAATAAGGAGGTCTCCGTGACAGGGCATCCGCAATGCCGTGAGAGCTTTCTTTCCTATATTGCACGATAAAATCACATCGTTGGAGTTCTTCGTACCACCTCGCAACAGAGCGGTCCATCTCCTTCATCGTCTTCAACCATGTTAGTGCTTGAAGGTCTGCCCTCATAACGAACTGCTTTCCTATCAAGCAACGTTTAAAATGCCCAATCATTGTGTAGATGACGAACAGTTCCCGTTGTGTTGCACTCTTCTGTCTCATCTTTTTGTTTGGACGTGGGTTGGCGTACACGATCACATGTTCTCTCCTGTCTTTGTCTTTTTGGGATAGAACTCCTCCTATCGCTGCATCGCTTGCGTCTATGTCCAGCTCAAAATGTGAAGTACCAGCATCACAGTTGGATAAGACCCAGTTTGGTGCTACTCAGAGAGCGAGCTTCAACTCCTTAAACTCTTCTGTGTGTTCGTCTTTCCAATGAAACTCCTTTTCGCCTGTTCCCCGAAACCTCTTACAAAACGCCAATAATATTTAGGCAAACCAAGAAGGCTGCGAAGTTCCGTTTGGTTGATAGATGTTGGCCACGTCCTCATTTGTCTTGTTCTGTCTTCCTTGACAGTGTGTTCCAGGAAAGCGACCGAGTTTTGGAGAAAACTGCAATTCCTTGGATTCAGTGTCAAACCTTAGTCTCAAAGGCGATCAAGTACTAATCGGAGGTTGGAGTTATGTTGTTTGATGTCTCTCCCGAAAACAAGAATGTCGTCCAGATAGACAATGCAGTGTTTCGGGAATAAGCCGCGTAATGCCATCTGCATAAGTCGCTGGAAGGGGCTGCTGCGTTGCCAAGTCCGAAAGTCATGGTTTGATACGATGAAGGTCATTATTCCCTATCCTTCTCCGCCACCTCCACCTGCCAGTAGCCGGTTTTCAGGTCCAACGTCGAGAACCACTTGGCTCCTTGCTAAGAGTCTAGCGAGTTGTTAATGTGGGGTAGAGGGAACGCATCCTTCTTTGTTACTGCATTGAGCCTCCTATACACGAAGCGTAGACACAGGCTGCCGTCGCTCTTTTTCACTAATGCGATGGGAGAGGCTCAGGGTGATTCGGAGGGCCTGATTACATTTTCACACACCGTCTCGTCAATCAATCGACGTACTTCGTCTTGGAGGGAGGGTGAGGGATGGCATGCGTCTAGGCGGCTGTCAGACCAGCTGGGTCTCACCGAAATTGATCTTGTGTTTGACTATGTTCGTTAGCCCCAGTTTCCCACCTTCCCAGGAGAACATTTGCGAGTAATGCTTCAGGAGCGAGTGCAGTTCCGTCCTCTCATTGTCGATACCCTGTTCTTGTTGAGTGCAAAGATAGCTCAGATTGGTCACATTGACGACAAGGGAAGCGAGAAGGGACCTGCATATGTTGTCTGCATCTTTCTTTGTTTGAGGGATTTGACACTTCTTCTTGGGTCTTCGATGGGTTGTGAACATGGCCACTCGAGGCTGGCGGAAAATGTCGGCTCCTAATAGTGCATCTCAGGCAAGTTCTGAATATAGCACGAAATTCACCTTCCAACTTCCCTTCCCAATCGAGACTTTCATAGAGGCTTCTCTTACTACCAATATTTCTTCGTTCTCTACAGAGCGTAGTTTAGTAGCCGGCGGAGCGATCTGAACCTTGTTACAAACCATCGGAAAGGTTTATGGGTTTAGTAAGGAACGGGCTGCCCCCGATTCCAGAAAGAAAGAGTATGTGCGGCCTTCCGTTTTGCCCCGTACCCGTATAACAGTAAGGGATCGAGAGGCAAGCGGCAAGACAAAGAAAACTGCAGGTTACTTTGTGTTGGGGCACCGCTTGGCTGTCTGTTGGGAGTCCACGGGTGAAACGGACGTCGAATTCTGTTGAGAGTTGCAGCTTCTGTCGCATGGCGACTGCCACGTCAATGAGGCGATTCAATCAGCTTGTTCGCATGTGAACCAGTTGTTCTGCCAGGACAGGTGGATGCAAGCCCCTTTTGAATTGGGCCACTGCCCATGAAGCACCCCGGAGGGGACAGCAATCTTTGAAGGTCTGTTTAGCTAGTAGCTGGAGGCTCTGCGAGAAATCCTCATCACTCTTTCCAGGCTCCTGAAAAAGCTAGGTAAGGTCTGAAGCTCAAAACTGTTCCTTCTGTAGGGGTATCAGTTTGACGAGAACCTCGTAGCATTCATCTATATCTGAGGGGAGAGTGGTACCCGCGTCCATTGCTTCACGGCGTAGGTCGTGGGGGGAGGCGCGAGGTAGCAATGGCACTTTCTGTGGAGAACCATGGAGCTCGAGATCTGCCTTTGTGAATAGAAGTCGGTCATCGAACTCCATGTCTTCCTTGAAGGGGGGGGAGGGGGCGGATGTCAACCGGCGCTGCCACCAGCACAGAACCAGTTTGCCTACCCTAGGGTCCCTGAACCTCGGACTTCAGGAGGGGATTAGTTGGGGACGGTTTATTTGGTGATATGCACAAAAAAGCTATAATGCTTCGTTTATGCGATTACCTGGCGTTCGGCGGCCACTTTATTATTTGTCTGGACCTTGTACTCGTGGGCTGGCCTTCGGGTCATGCCCAGGTCCATTTGCTCTGTTCTCTTCGGAATACATGTATTCAGCTTCACTTACTGCCTTCTTCCACCCTTTGAAAAGTCTCGGGATGCTACAAAGGCCAACTCAAACACATTCGTATGCATTGCAGCCGTTATTTTAGAGAGGCTCCAGCTTCCAATGTGTGGCTTTCTGCCTTTGGAAGACGGTATTCCGAATGACGGAACTCAGCTCTATACCGGTGCATCGATCTCAGACAGTGGCATAGTTTTGCCCGAGAGTGTTGCTATCATGGCTGGCATAGATGGTTAGGCAAGGCTACAGCTAGAAAGGCAAGGTAAACTATTAAAACTGGTAGCAAACCTTTTCGTTAATCGTGTGCGGTTAACTTCGGTAGACAAATCTATGGAAAAAATTGGAAATGTTTGAAGGACCTCCCGGCCTACCCTCAGGTCCCTAAACCTTTGACCTCATAAGAGGGTTGGTTGGGGGAGGTTGGCTTGACATCTTGTGAAAAAAAATGAAAGGAGGGTGTCGATGAGACAATAGGCCAACAACACCACGCGGATGTCATTGCGTTCCTCACGAAACGGATTTGTCTCGAATTGCTTAACCACCTCGTCCCAATAAGGGCAGCCCACACAAATCAGTATATATTGCAGTGTTGTTCGTATTATACAACATTATTTTCCGTAGAATAATTTTAAATTTGAAACCTGTAAAATCTAACTACATTGTTAAGGCTCGTGCATTGACCTGTATTTTTGTGACTCATATGCAAAAATATGCTGCACCTGAACTCTTACGTCTGCCATTCATTTGCTTGCACAATTGGTGATTTTGTTCCTTTTGTTTGAGCGACTTTTAAGAGAGGCGCGGCACTTGTGGTTTTGTGCATTGCGCTTGTCTGTTGGGGGATGCATCTTGTGGTTCGTTCTTTCAGCACGCGTCTCGTTGACACGTCAGTCTGCAAATCAGGCGCGGACCTAAAGTGTCTTCTGGCTTCGGAGGATGGTCTTCCTCTGGAAGATATTCAGCTCTACGCTGGTACATCGGTTCTGAGTAGTGACACTGTGTTGGCCGATCTGTCAGCCGACTGCCCTATTGACGTGAGCGTCGCCGTCCTTGGTGGTATGTTTAGTTGAGCAGAACTAAGTGGCTCTTAAGGTAAGGTGCACGGGTCTCTGGCTCGTGCGGGTAAGGTGCGGGGTCAGACCCCGAAGGTGGAGAAGCAGGATAAAAAGAAGCAACCGAGGGGTCGTGCCAAGCGTCGAATGCAGTACAATCGTCGCTTCTTTGCGGTGGTCGCCAGCACTGGGTTGCGAAGACGAGGTCCAAACTCTAACTTCAAGCCAACCTAGCAGAACGCTGCTTGAAGGCTCGCCAATTGTTTATTGCTGTTAATATATCCTGGTGTTGGCGTAGGTTCTCACCTGTTCTTTTTTTATTTTTGAGTTGTATGAGTTCGATGCTGTGCTGCTTCGCGTGGGTTATTCTGCACATTCCAGATGTTTAATTTGGGGATGCGTGTCAAATGTTGAAGTTGGGACGTGTACTGAAGGTAGGTAGGACGAAGCCCAGCGTGCTAGTGTCACGGGAGGGGAAATGGTGCATGGATTCTTTCTTATGGCTAATTCTTGTAATAATTGTGCTTTGGGTTTGGGTTTTTGGCTGTTCGAAATAGTTGTGCCGTGCACTTTTGACTGGCGTGTTTTCAAGCCATGTGTGATTGCGGAATGCTGCAAGCTGAGAAGGAGCATCTAGGTTCGACGGGAGTACAGGAGTAAACTGTTGGCACCTTATCACATTTTCTGGACTTTACAGTTCACGGTAAGGTTATTTTTGTAATTTCATCTGCTCTGTTAGATGCTTTCTTTGACACATTTTTTTAAGTCTTCGACTGTCTGCTCTGTTATTGTTCAGGAACTTTTTTATTACATCTTTTGCAAAGAGTTTTATCATAGGAATATTTCGTGTTTGTTGTAGGCTCTTGGGACTTTTTCTGAGTAGAAAAGTGCATCGAATTGGATGGGATACATGTATTTTAAGAGAATAGGGCATGAGGGTTCCTAAGGTTATGTCCAGAATTTAGATGTTGAATTAAGCAGTACATTACACTACCTCATTCTGAGCGAAGTGCCCAGCGCTTCTGCTTCCGGCATCGCAACATATGCGGCGCCACATGGAAACGCCCACGCGTCAATCATCGGATAACATGCAATTGAGAAACGCGAATCGGTTAACATCGCAGCTTCGAATGGATCTTGAGTTGCATTTGGTTTGGGGATGTAATGCCTTGTTTATGTGACTACCTGACGTTCGGCGGTCACTTTAACATTGGTCTGGTCATTGTACTCGTGGGCT